GTGACTGACTACGCACGAAACATGTCTAACGAAATGAATCGAGGAGCAGCAACTAAAGCAACACTGAATAGTTGTAACTACAGTAAACATATTCTGTGCCTTATCTGTGTTAAATGGCCAAACTCCTTCGAGCTCCAGCAGGAACACAGAAAATGGCTTAGGCAGGGACGAAGCTGCTCTTTTTTTTCATCATCTAACAAAAGACCTCATACAGCGCAAAAGATTTCGTTCCTTTCGGAGAAATCATTGATTTTTAAAGGAGGCATCGACTACCAGAGTCTTTTAAGCTGCTGAACCGTGGTAGCTCTATTGGATGTTCACATTCATAGTTACTTGTGAGTCGTGGTGTGAGATAATTGATACTCATTTGAACATCTGCACATCCTTCAGACTTCACCTTCACGCACATTCCCACACCACTACTCGCAAGTAACTATGAATGAGTTTGTTACGAATTACCATTCGAAGTATACAGTTTGTGGATAGTTAGCCGGATATCCCTATGGAAGAGCTGATTTGATGAGAGGCTTTTGATTGGAGTTAACAGGCAGTCAAATGTGTCTTCATTCGTCGCTGTTAGGCCAAAATTAACTTACTACCTCTGAAGACGAGATCTGAACAATCATGAATGGACAATTCGGTCCAACTCTCTGGTATGAGCTAGTTGGCACAGTGATACCATTCACTACACACGTCTTCCACGCGATCGGTCTGTAGTTCAAAACCCGGACGGGAGGGTGGATATGCAGTACTAATGAGCTTTGTTAAGAGCAAAACTTGTATTTGGTGATCCCTAGTGTGTAACTAACTGGAAAAACTGATGCTTGTGCGTGAAGAGGAAGTCTGAAGGATGTTCAGTTCAAGTCAATATTTTGGATTTGTTTAGACATAAATCAACTTACTGCTTGTTACTATAGTTAGTACATATTTGCACTGTCAGTTTGATCGTTTGAAGAATGAACGACATCCTAATTAGAACATGTGATAGTTTCAATTTTCAAAAATGTATCTGATCTGAGACCCATTGAGCACTCACCTCTGTAAAATCAATATGCTTCTTGACAATTTTATTAGATTAGACGAGTTGTTCTATATCGTGCATATTCAAAATGAGAAACGACCTGATCAGGTACCCGGTGGCCGAGTGGGTAGCATGCTTGTGTTCTACCTGTGAGGTCCCGTGGTCAATCCCCAGTTGGGTGCGCACTGCACGGATAAGACCCAATCAGGTTGAAACAGCTTTCGAGTACTTCCCGGCTTTTCAGCTCACGCCTCATTTACACGACGAATTGATTTCCACTAATGGGATTGTAATCAAGTCATTTATATCAGAGAAAATGCCAATTCAATTAATTAGAAAGACGTTCCAATCTGATATTCATGCTCACAGAATAAACGAATATTTGATACTGTTAAGTATATCTGCGAAAAATTGTACATCCTTATGAAGTTTCCTGTGGAGAGTAAATGGAGTTGACAGGAGCTGCATTATTTCCAAGCGTGAGTGTTAAAGTGCTTAAGAACATCAAAGCAGCAACCTAGAGATCCAGAGTTCGAATCCCACCGCTGTGGCCCATATTCCCTAGTTATGTGTTTCCCTAAAAGGCTTCTGTTTGGTCACAGCTCCCTTCCTGAAAGTTGATTGTGAGTTTGTACACTTATTAAATATGAAGAGGAATTGAAAATATTATTATCATTATTATTACTATTATTATTATTATTATTATTCGTGTCTTGTTTCCGCATGTGTCTAGATTCAGTCCGTTTAACCACATGACCCCGTGATCACCAATCGCACAAAACCACTTTACCGTTTTCAATAAACCATCTGATAGTGTTATTGCAATGTGTATTTTGGTGGCATAGATGAAGATATTGTGACCCGAGCAACTTCAATCAATCTCCGCACATTCATTTATTGCCCTCATTCAGACTCCATGTCTCACGATTAAGTCACGGGGAAACAGACAGAGGGAAAGTCTACTGAAACAAGCCCGCATTGTCATTCGTATCGTATGAGACGTACAATTTTCACCACAGTACGAATCATCAGAAATCCTTTGCACACAAATCTTAACTAACCAATCCGCTGTCTACAAACTGACATTGCACAGCAAAACCAACCAATCAGAATCACACGTGGATATACACCATGTACAGGTTGGTGGATTTAATAAACCAACCATATGTCAGTTTGGATGTCTGTGAGTGCGGAAGAAATTGGATTTACAGAAACACGCAAATAAACATACGCACACGTAAATAAATGAACTACGGCACAAACACACACTCAAATGAACACGCACGCACGCATGCGTGCACGCATGCACTAACCTGCCTAAAAATTCATGTCTCCTGACGGACAGGAAAAAGTCACTCGTCTGGTCTATTTACACCTCGCCGGCTTAAAGCACGTGTACGGTTGTCGACCCCCGTCCGTTGGTGTGTGTCAACACCACATCCGTTGGAATACGGCGAAGAAAGTGGCCAGCACTTTTCCGGAAATTTTCCAAACGTGATTATTGTGTAACTCCGATCATTAATTAAATAATTCTCATTCCCGTCATCAACAATTTACTGGAATATTACTCTGTGAGCTTCGTTCACGCGTTTCACATGAAAAAGGATCTCTGTTTCAATTTGGACAAGTTTTGTCACCTGTGACTCATCAGTGGACCCGATCTCAGCATGCAAACTAAATTTCCCAGGCCATTTATCGGCCTGATCCTGTTGCTATTGGGAACATGCACACAAGGAATATTATTTGATCAACCCAGTCGAATTCTGCCCTCCGACTCGTATCAAATTCTCGGTCAACCCGGATTCCGACGATTGGGGCAATGCAATTTCACTTACGCCTGGCTTATTCCACCTCCGGCATCGAATCTAGATGCGTACGGGCACACTCTAGCCTGTACCCGACTTCAGCTACAAGATGGTCGAATAGTCCGGAGCCATGAGGCGTCGGATCATCNCAGCCGAGCCGATGAGGAACTGAAACAGGTGAATAAAGAATTGTCCGCATCTTTGGTAGATTTGAATCGTCTGGATGCACTGATGCGTGCCGAACGTTTGGTTGACGGAGGCTATCGAGTACTACCTGGCGGACCATTAGCCGATGGGGATCGTTACTTTTATCTGGCTGATCGAGTCGGTAATTTGAACATTCTAGTCATGTTCCGTCCGGGTCAACAAATCAAACTGGAATTAATCGATCCAATCTCTCCGGATCACTTATTCACACCACAACATGTGTTATGCTCCCGCAAACAATGCCCTCCGACACCAGCCACAACAGAGGATGCTACACTAGACGGAAGTGGGGGGAATCGGTTTGCAAACCAATCCCGAACACTTTCGGTCGCATTGTCCAAAGCAGATAGACAAAATCGTGAATTATATATGCAATTGATAATTTCACGTGTAGCGTGTGCCTTACTTAGTTTTCTCTGTATTGTGTTTGCCATAACCGCGTTGGCCTTGTGTATTAGACTGCGACGCTATCCAGGCTATTGTCGTAAACCGGCTCCACCGTCAGAAATCAGTGTCTATCGGGAGCAGAATCATTCACCGTCCTACTATCAGGCGAATGGAAAACTGAACATGGGTCAACCATCTCCAGTCTATCTGACCGATGCCTCACCTCGGCACGGGGCAATGAGTCAAATGATCAGTGACACGGCCAGTGTGAATAATGTGGTCATGACCACGAGCAATCTAAGTGAATGTGGAGGAATTGGTGGTATGGCTGGTGCCCCGATATCCTATACGGCTCTAGCACCACAGTACGGACACCTGCCAGCGTATGCAATGCCCGGGTCCAGAGCATCTATCTATAACGATGCCTCAGGCATGGTCACTTTGGTCCCGGTCAATTCGCGGGGTATTTTCTTACCTCACCAAAATGGATCGAGCAGTCCGGTCCCGTCGAATCATTCGTACACGGATGGGAAACCGGGGATTGTGCGAAGTGGTTCGTTGGGAAGATATTCTGGGAGTAATCTGAGCTATAGCGAAGCTGCACGTAGAAAGCTACTAAGAAGTACACGTAACTCGTACAGAACGGAGTCACAAACACAACATGGGGTAAATAATTTGGAACCGGGACAATCACCGACACCGCAATCACAACCAATGTTAGCCTTGTCACCACCACCACAACAACAACAGCAGCATCAGCATCAGCAACAACAACAACAACAACAACAGCAACATCAATCCACTGTACCACCACCCCCGCCTTTGGCCACCCCGATTCCTTCAGTCGGACACCAACATGTGACACAAACAACAGCCGGTCAGACACCAAATGCCGGTACGGTTCAGTGTGAGCAACATCCAAACGATCTGTTGATGAAAGCGACCAGCTTACAAATGCCAAACGATCTGATCACGTTTCAGGCTAACAGTCAGCTGGCATCCGTGATACATCGCTATCCGGGTGATGTCCACTCATATAAAATGCCTACACCTCGTGGATCGGTGAAAGAAGATCGTGACAGTCCCAAATCCGGTCAAATAAATCACATTAATGAATCCTGTGTGGCCCTGCTTCGAAAACCAGCTTTGGCCAACTAGAGCACGAGCTTTGCATCCGACTGTTCAATACAAGTGTTAGACATTTATGTGCATGTGTGACTATATCTTGAACTTCACAGTGACCTTATCAACACAGAAATACACGCTGTGCATTCAGCGAGTTGCATAACAGCAACGTGATCAATTTTCTGTGACTGAACAGACTGACTTGCTCGTATCCCCGATCGTCCGTCTGTCCGAGAAGGCGAAACGAGTGAGTCTGTTTTTTGTTTCAAGCATGCAAGCAAGCGTTTAGTTCGATTCGAATTGTGTAAGGCAATACTGATCTATTCTTTTCTTCATTCGTTTTCACTTCCCCACTTCTCTACACGCTCCGCCCCTCGGAACATTCACTGCCTAGTACTCATTGCTCTTTATCAAATCCTCATCATCCTCATCATAATCATCATTGTACACTGTATTCTCTCGATTAAGCTCACTCCTGTACGCATCGAACTCCTACAAAACACGAACAAACACGAGCATTATACGCAATTCCCGTTTTGTACAACTTATTCTTCACGTTCAGCCGAAACACAAATGCACACAACTGTACAGAGACAATCTATTCCTAAGAACCATACTAGGTAAAGAGGGTCAGACCATACTGTATTTTACTCAAACCAGCAAGCGAAACTGTTTATCACACAACGGCATAATGTACTGCAGCACGTACTAGCACGCACACACACACACACTTTCAGCAACACCTAACAGGATAAACAAGCTCCGAATATATCGTTCTATCAATCCGGAACTGGGGACCTATGAGAATTAAATGTATAGAACATGCAAAACCCAAACACATACTCGTCCTCGAACTCATGCACGCTGTCGCCTTTCATACTCAAGTCTTCCGGTTCATCTCAATAGCGCTCTCTGTTGCTCCCATCCCGATATGACAAACAGTACGAGAGAGTGTGTATGTGCATCGACCCCCTATTTTCTACGATACACATTTGTTTCGTGATTTCTCCGCATAAATGAAGTTGATTCAAGCACCAGTTCGACTGATTGATTGATTGATTGAGCAATCACGCACACCCTCCGGCACCTTGCCACGACCGTGTAAACGTACCGGTTTTCAGACTGGTACGGTACTGATTATGGGGCATTTGTGGCATGCCATGAAAAATCCGATCCATTTCGAGGCGCCCGACCCCCTCCCCGATTATGCACACACTCGCGTTTTGCACCCTAACCCGGGTCACATTGTCTGACCCCGCCCACAAACATTGATGAACACACACACACACAAACAGAAAACATACACCATCCTGCTGGTTTAGCCGAATACGGCAGATAAACCTGTTGTGGCCATTAACAGGTTCTCCGTCCGACAAAACGTTTCCCTACACTTCATTTCAGCAGTGTGTATTCTTGAACGGAATTGGTGCTTTTCTGCTGTCCTGGTACGTACCACATGTGTCCGGATGCTTTCTTTCTTTTCTCTTTTTTTGTTCCTCGTGAACGTATCATTCAGTGTGAGATTTGGAGAGAGCAAAACAAACACACAAAATATTATTTAAAAAGGAAAAAAAGTGAACTACTTCTCTTTACAAAATTGTTTTCCAGTTTGTTCAGCGCCTAATCGTGATCATAGTGGTTGATTTGACTATAGATTGGACAAAAATAGACGGGGACGATTGTGAATGGATTGATTTGTCTTTGGTACGTGTTTGCTTCGCGCGTATGATCGATCATTCATGGTGAGATTCAAAGGGTTCCAACTGTTCAGCTTTTATCTAGTAGCTTTCTGCGGGCAGTGAGATTTGGAGAAACAACGTTCGATCAGAATTGAACGCGTCGAATTTTCGGTTCATGTATTTCTCGAAACCGATTCACGAGGATGCATTTCCTGGGATAGTTAGATGATTGAGATATAATTAATTGATCTACTATCAACAGAAAGCGGTTTGCTGGAGACGGACACCGCATGTGTTTTGCGTGGTTCAGACCGATTGCCTTCCCCACGTACTATGGTGAATCGTACGACAGAGAGTGAATTGGAATTCCGAGCTGATCCCCTCCCAGGCGCGCACACATCCTGTTCTGGTGATTTGCGTCGGTTAATTCAAACTCAAATGCAATATTCACTCAGTTCTTGAGGGTATTCATGACTTGTTTTTTTTGCGTTATGTCCTGTTGATCACTACAATACGTCTTGTCACATATTCTCCGAGTGTTATTTTCGTCAACAGTTTACCAGCGAGAATAATTTGTCTACTTTTGAAAATACACTTTTCTCTACACTCGGTAGAATCTATCATCCACTTACCGTAAAGCTGCATTCCTAATTTCACCTCATTTTTTAAGTAGTATCGGTCGCAGTGGTGGTGGTGGTAGTAGAACGAGGTTCGTCACGATATCTCTTAATCCAATCAGTCTTATCAATGTCAGCATAATGAAGCGGTAGAATAGATTCATTAATTAAAATACCTAGAAACTGCCATCTGACCCGAAGTCGAAACAACGGACGATAGTTTATTTAGAGTGGATTGTTCTGGATAGGCGCTTTCTGAAAACTCGGAATCTTAATGATATTGTAGCAACATCAGTATGCATGCAAACCTGTGCGTTGATCGAGCCTCAATTGACTCCATCTCTGTATAGGCTAGTCAAACAAGGCCACGGATTGTGTAAAATACGAGGAAATCTGAGACGCTTCGACCTCCGGTGCACCTATCCTACTTTACTAACTATACCGCCTTGTGTAGTTCGGTCCTGTTCTCTACTGGTAACAAGCACCACTCACCCCCAAAACCGGCAACTTATCTCACTTGGAAATGCCATCTAGGAAGCCAACTAAAAACGTGAGGTACTTCAATCCGTTCGAGCGTTTTCCCTTGAATCAATGTTTCGAGTGCTCCATTCGAGGAACTACTGAAAACAGTCTGATGTGACTCAAAACCCTGGAGGTGTAGATTGGCACCAATACACATCCGTTGAATGCATACCATTTAAATCAATTTTTGATAATGAACAATCCGATGAAACTGAATCTCGGAATGGTGTTGGGATTTTCGAAACATGCGTATGAATGTGAGTACTGCGCTTCAGTAAATTTTCTAACTGGCTAACCGAATTTCCATGCAAAGGTACAGAATGAGGTAACTGGGACGGCGGTGACATGATTCAGATACAGAACCTTTGTTAAACTGAATATACCGACTTAACCACTTAACTATCTAACTAACTAGCTAACTAGGCAACTAACTAACTAACTAACTAACTAATTAAGTAACTAAGTTAATAACTAAATAACTGACGGACTAACTAACTGACTAACTCACTAACCATTGTGACCTGCTAGCTGAACCGTTATAGCATATCTTATGTAAAGGCGGAAGCGACGGTGTCTATCCCCGGGTTGGAATCCAGCCAAAGTAGACACGCAGTTTACGTGTTATCTCTTCGAACAACACAATCCGATGTGTTGGTTTGTAACACCGTTAGCTCTACTTTGACAACCGATCTACGGTAAGCTCCAGAGTATTCACCGAACCATAAATGATGCATCCATGTTGTTGGTTCCAACTGAAATTATCTTTCTAGCTCTTGTGTCACAATGCTGTTTCTACGGAATGAAATTCATAGAACCGACGCTGACTTTCACTTCTCAAAAGGCTTAACAACTTTTGTTCTACATCACTATTATAGTTGTGAAACACTACTCACATTTGTGAGTAGTTCTCAAAAAGATGCGGTTGGCGGTTTCTTTCAACGATACAAAAGATGAACAAGACCTATTTGAGCGAATTGCTATGCTCATTACGGTAACTGATGGAACACACTTCAACTGTTCTATCGTTCCATTAACTATCCTGTGTGTGTGTGTGTGGTAATTTTGAAAACTCGCTCGAAATGAGGAGACGTTTGGTTGTAAATACACCAATTTACCGATACCCCTGACCAGTATTCGCAACAAATAACTACTCTGGTTCCGACACGGTTTTGTGGAACCATACCACTACTAATACATTTTCCATCAAATCTTTCAACTTAATGTGAAGCCCAAAAGTATCAAGTTCAAGCTGAGGTATCGGTTTCAGCTGTGCATTTTGTGATTTATTGAATAGCTGTAAATTTTTATTTTCTTCTCATGATATTTTTGCTTGGAATGAATTGTCATTTTCATAAAATATCGGTTCGGCCGCTGCTAGTAAATTCTGCTTGGAAGAAGCTATTTGAATAGGGTGGAAAAATATCTGCTCTCGGATGTCATTTCAAGGACCTACGGAGATCCGGTAACTTGGTCTCACGTGTTTATTTTACAAACAAAATTCCTCGAAACAAACAATTGTTTTTACTAGTGATATGGAAAGGTAAAGTTATACTTTGGGTTCACCTGAGGTTTATCGGTCTAACCGCTATCCTCTTGTAGTTCATCAGTTTGAACCCTGACGCTGTTTCGATGTTTGGTCACAACTTAGCCTTCGATTGTTTAAAACCTAAGTTTTGCAATGACTGTACATTCGTGGTTCGTTAGAGAAATCAATTTATATGAATTTTGATCACTTTTATTGTAACTGGTGATGTTTCTTTAATTTGATAGAAAGTCAAGGAGGAGTTATGATGAGAACAATATGATTTTTACGAGATACTTTGCACCGGTTTGTTAGAAATCAGTCCCTCATCCCGAGGTACTTCGGTCCGACATCCATGATGGTTAAAATGTAGTTGAATAGCTTTGAGATCTACAGAAAGTTTTCAGTCTCAGTGAATAAAGTAACATTTACGAATGTAATTATTAGACCGATGTGAGCAGTGCAAATGGGGAAAAAAATTACCAATATTTGATTTACAATGAAGCAAATAGCTCATCTAAATCCGACAAATTGTTGATTGATTTTTTATTTTGTTTATTTTTTAAACGGAGAAGCTAGTCAATCATTTTGTGCAATATAGTCTATTCGAATTATCGTACCTGTTGTACATTTTATACATTGTATACTTGGTTAAAAGGTAATGTGTCTCCATGTCAGGGGGTTGGAGAACTC